TACTGTAGAAGGAAAACTACAGCTTAAATAATAGTAGACGTTTCTTGTTTTGTCAGGAAACATCACAGCTCACGTCGACACGGCTTTTGAGTTTTGTAACCGGCCGAGGCGAAAGTAAATCATGCAGTCGAGAAAACGTCTTACATTGAAAGATTATTTTGCAAATCATATGCTCGTACCACGGGCTTTAGGACAAATTCAATTCGACAACAATAGTATTCTATCTAAATAGCAGTTAAAATAAAGTGTACGGCACCTGAACTGTTCAATATCTTGCTTCTGTATTCATGAAACATTTACATATATGCAAATACTGTATATTTTGAAAATCCGCCATATTTATTTACATTAGAACCCAAGCCTTCGCGGTTCACACGAAATACTGTATTACGTCGGTGATTTTCACTAATAATAAGAGGGTAGGATTAAAGTGGGCGTTGTCACTCGCTAACCCAATCAGCTGTCTGGGTTCTGTACCACGTGACCTGTTCAAATCGTTCTGAGCGGGAGGAATCTTATGACATCATACCGGCTTCGTTAAAATATTTTGGGGACTCGTTTATGCCATATAAGGAAGTTGGGGACACGTTTGTGCCATATATGGAAGCATGCTTTCCTCGCGCTTCGAACGATTGAACAATTGGATGATCCTACCCTCTTATTATTAGTGAAAATTACCGACGTTAATAATATTTCGTGTGAACCGCGAAAGCTTGGGTTCTAATGTAAATAAATATGGCTGATTTTGAAAATATACAGTATTTGCATATATGTAAATGTTTTATGGATACAGAAGCAAGTCACGTTCGGCCCAGGCTTGCCCAGCAAAGTGACGTCATAGATTTTGCATACTAATTACTTCCGAAGCAAAGCGACGTCATTGGCGGCATCCCTTTGAACTCTGGAGGGGGATCTATTACTACTTAAGCCCCTACGTTTGAAAGATGTAAACGAGTTACGGTTAATCTGACCACAAACGAATTAAATTATCATTTGGATCGCATTTCGTTCAATCACGGTTCAATACGCTTTATTTCAGCAGACGTATTATATATATTAGGGCTTACGTTTACGGTAAACAGCAAACTTCAATCGTAATATGAAATCAACTATTAGCTGTTCGAAGTTAGGGCAACTTGTGCATAAAAATTGGACTATGAATTTGCTACTTCTAGCTAATAAAGCAATAAAGATCGACCTTTTCTGCCGTTAAAATATTATCAAATTTTATGCCGGTGTCGACAAAAACACCGGACTCTGTCTGATTTCATGTAACGTAAAAGCTATAAAAGCTATCGCAATGAAATAAAGATCGTTACATTCATCGAGTTAAGCCCTCAACGGGAATGGGTGTGGCATGGGCGTGGTATGGGCGTGGCATGGGCATGGGCGTGGCATGGGCGTGGCATGGACGTGGCATGGGCGTGGCATGGGCGTTGTCGGGCTTAACTCGAAAGAGCGTGGTCAGGGCTTAACTTGAAAGGCTTAACTCGAGGGGCTTAACTCGAAGATTTCCTACCCCCAATCTAACAGTCAGCATGGCACATACAGTATCTATTCGCCCAGTGCCCGAGTTTAACACCGACGCTACACGTTGGAAAACTGTAGCGTCGCTACACGTTGGAAAAACTGGGTCGCACACTTTAACATGTTTCTCCTGGCTAGTGGCGTTACGGATGAACGTTGGAGAAGGGGACAAGAGGTGTCTCTTTATTTTTAAAGAAAGTCTCAACGCACGCGTATTTGATCACATCAGTGATCGAATAATTACGACGTCTTTCAAGCTTGCGAACACAAAGGTCGTTGTTGTGGCAGTCTACTTTCCTTCAACAAACCGAAGCTTCAATGAATACATGAAAACATTAGAAACTTTAGAACAAATCTGTCTGCAATATAAAAACAATAAAACAAATTTGATTTTGCTTGGAGATTTTAATGCACATATCGAAGAAAATAAAGTAGGCCAAAAATGGAATAAACGAGGCACGAAATTGCAATCGATGTTTAATAAACTTAAGTTGGTTCCTGTGAACTTATATCCACCCTGTGACTCCCAACAACTCACGTATTTGTCACGCACAGAAAATTCCATCATTGATTATATAATCTTAGACAAGAACCTGGTGCAATACATGGAGTCTGTGCAAGTACTCAATGAACATCCAGATAATGTGACCTATCATTTGCAGTTGACAATCACACTATGCACAACAATTACGGAAAATTTCGAAAGATCAAAGAATGAAGCTAACCAAAATTACATGCATGAAAACATTTGCTGGAAAAAATGTTCTGCTGACACACTAAATTTTTACAATTAAAACTTGTCAACCTCAGTATCCGAGATCCTAAACGACGAATTGAACGATATAAATATTCTGTATGATGAACTTTGCAATGCAATTAAAAGCGCGGACGTTGTCTTACCCAGAGTTACCAAGAGTTAAATATAGAAAGCATGTATGCAATGTAAAGCATTTCTGGAATAGCACACTTAAAGACTTAAGAAAAGCAGTTATGGCTGCAAGATTGGAGTGGAGGTTCCAAGAGAATATTGATTACATACAATACAAAAAAGCTAAATGCAAATATAGAAGAGAACCTCTCTCCTCCGCAGAGGCTTTAGTTTTCCTAGGATTTAATATTACGATGAGATACATTTCACTACACTTTACATGGCGGATCACGGAACACGAGCGTAGCCGCTGGGCGAAGGAGCGAAGGTGGCAAAGGAAAAAGGCGAGGGGAAGGCGCGAAGCCTCTGCACGACTTGCATCGCAAAGTGGGACAAAGTGTAAACATCGAAACAAAAGGTGATTTTGAAACTAAATAACATATGCTTTAGGACAAATTCAATCGCAAATACTGTATATTTTCAAAATCCGCCATATTTATTTACATTAGAACCCAGGCTTTCGCGGTTCACACGAAATACTGTATTACGTCGATGATTTTCTCTAATAATAAGAGGGTAGGATCATCCAATTATTTAATCGTTCGAAGCGCGGGGAAACCATGCTTCCATATATGGCACAAACGTGCCCCAAATTCCTTATATGGCACAAACGTGTCCCCAAAATATTTTATCGAGGCCGTTATGATGTCATAAGATTCCTCCCGCTCAGAATGATTTGAACAGGTCACGTGGTACAGAACCCAGACAGCTGATTGGGTTAGCGAGTGACAACGCCCACTTTAATCCTACCCTCTTATTATTAGTGAAAATCACCGACGTAATACCTATTTTATATTCTTAATAACTTTTGCATGCTTATTATAAACAGACACTTTTGACAATTTAGTTAATTAATTATAATACTTTGATATATTTCAACTTTTTTAATAATTTTTAATAATTTTTAAGTGTAAGTATAATACGCAATTCAGCTCATGGCTGCAATGTATTTACCATTTCTAAATAAAGTATAAAGTATAAAGCTTGGGTTCTAATGTAAATAAATATGGCGGATTTTGAAAATATACAGTATTTGCATATATGTAAATGTTTTATGGATTTAGAAGCAAGATATTGAACAGTTCAGGTGTCGTACACTTTATTTTAACTGCTATTTAGGTAGAATACTATTGCTGTCAAATTGAATTTGTCCTAAAGCCCGTCATTACACAAAGCAAAACAATGGTATATTTTACTCACCGCTTGGCCAATCATTCTGTATATCGTATCGAGAAAAACTTGAATATCTCTAACTTGAACTCCTCGGAATTCGCCACAAGGCAAAGAAGTAAAATACGCCTTGTACTCAAGCGCTTTCGTGTAGAAAATTTCGTTTGAATACGGCCAGTAGAAAGATTTATTTTTAATTTTTCAAAATATCGGGTTTTTACTCGCACAGTCGCACGCGCCTGTCACACGCTGAAGTTCGGGAATTAGTTCACAATCAGACCAGAAATGGAAATACCATAGTAAAAGATGCAGTTTTCAAGATACAAGCTCAAAAATAAAACTCTAAATAGTGTTTTGAATTCTCTTTCGAACAAGACTAATAAAACAAGACGCTCCACGGAGCGTTAAGTCGCTGGGTCATGGAAATATGCAACTTTAAGTACAAGTATAATAACACTAATTAAAGAAGAGCGTGTTTGTTTTTCCGAAAATATTGATTCTTGAAGTTTGCAGTTTGCCTGGTAGTGAGCGCTTATAGTTAAAACAAGTACAACCATGTAGCAATGTTGTTTTAATAGTCTTATAGTATACAGTATAGTGTATCGTGTGTGTTAAAATTATAAGCGTTTATCCTCAATCAATCAATCAATCAATCAATCAATTTTTATTTAAAATCAAAATCACGCTAGCCTCGCACAACTAAAAGCTGATTTACAGGAGGGGCGTGATATATAAAACAGTAGAATATATGGAATATTATATGAACCCCCCAACCTCCCCCCAACAACAAATTGAGAAAAATAAAGTCAAGTAAAGTAAATAAAGAGAGTTAACTATAATTAAGTCAACATGGTTCTAAAAGGACAGTTCCGCAATACTACGCTTAAATTGACTGAGCGAAGTCGCTCTTTTTGCATCTAATGGAAGATTATTCCACAGCATTGATGCGCTATATTTAAAGCTTCTCTTCAAAAAATTAGTTTTTGGTTTTGGAAGTGCTAGATCCGTTACGTGATTTCGTAAATTATGGCATCTATTAAGTTCACTAAGTCTTACAAGGCTTTCTCTTAAACATGGCGAACAATTTTCACTAAGGATTTTATACATTAGGATACTCTTCAACTTAGCCCGCCTAACATGTAGATTATCCCATCCTAAACCTTCCAAAAGATCACTTGATCTAATCCTATCATCATATCTTGCTCCAGTAATAACCCTAGCCGCACGATTTTGTAATATTTGCAATTTATCTTTTAATATTTTATCGCATGTATCCCACAGGGGAGAGCAATAATCAAAATACGGTTGAATTAATGATTTGTATAATGTAACTAGAGAGGTCTGCGGAACGAATGGTTTAATTCTCCTCAATGCTCCTATGCCTGAACAGATCTTCTTGCATATTTCTTCAATATTGATGTCAAAAGTCAATCTCTCATCAAGATCAACTCCCAAACATTTATTCGAGACAACAGGTGAAATTACGTTATTGTTCATGATAATGCTGTTGTACAATTCACCAACTTTGTTGGTCAAATTTTGTTTAGATCCTATGACAATAAGCTTAGCCTTAGAAGGGTGGGATTGGAGTTTATTTACATTTAACCAATCTGTGACATTTTCTAAATCAGAGTTTATATCATTAGCCAGCGCAACAGAGTCGTACGAAGAAGCAAAAATTTGGGTATCATCTGCGTAGAGACAGGGTGTTGTTGTCTTTAGACAGTTGGGTAAATCGTTGATATAAATTAGGAACAACAACGGGCCAAATATGGAACCTTGTGGAACCCCGCAAATTATTTCACCTTTATTAGAGAGGCAGCCATTTACTTGACACTGTTGTTGCCGATTTGAGAGGTAGGATTTAAACCATGCAAGTTCAAGTTGAGAAACGCCATAGAGAGCTAGTTTTTCAAGTAGTATAACATGATCTATTGAATCGAAAGCTTTTCTGATATCAAGGAAAACTAC